GATAATTATTTATTATAATTTTATCATATAGACAAAAACAGTTTACTCACTACAAAGATGCAACTTCGTTTCGGTTCATTTCAATTGCACCTCGACTGGTGAGAACCAAAAATCGTTATGAACAATTCTACTTTGAAGAACCCGGCTTTCTAGCATATCCTAGACCTAAGAACCTAAAGGAAATGACATGATTTCTTACTACGATAACCTTTGCTACAGCGTTTGTTTACGTTTTAGGTACGCAGTTGAAGCTAGTATATGTAAATTCGTATAAGACCAAGCGAGAAATGTGCCTTCTTTAAATAGATGAATTGAACCAAACTTCGCAAAGACCATCTCATGTACGCTTAAGGACACATTCCAAAAGCTGGGTAGAGTATTGCGAGACAGGAGGATCTCTTTGGTAACAAAGAAAAGAGTACGGAGCTGTTAAGTGACATCTGTCTTCCTTTACGGCAGCGAATGTTGGACAGTCTCCTCAAAGCCGAAGAAGAGATATATTTTCTACGAAATTTCTCGAACATTCAGGCCGGTTAAATGTAATTAATACTGTTTATTTAAAAATGCAGAGCATTTACTTAAACAAATTGTATTTATAAAAAATTACCTATAAACAAAAATATATATTAAGTAATTGTCGGATTTAATGCATTTCATATTATATATATATATATATATGTATATATAGTCAAACCTAGAGAGCCAAACAAATCTACCAAGGTTTCACCTAAGCGGTAGGTAGGTTTGTCTGACTCTCTAGGTTTGATTAGGTCTGCTCTACTTTTGTATTGAGCACTTTTAAATCAGTTGTTTACTCGTATCGGTTTTTTTTTTCTTTGGGCTTTAGACCTGTATGTTGTACGATTATTTTCGACAGACGTTCATATTCATAGCTCTTTCTTTTTTTAAAAACTTTTTTCCTTTGAAATTGATTTGATCATCAGCAAATCAAGAAACCGAAGGTTATCCGAGACCAGTGTAATTACACACACACACACACACACACATATATATATATATATATATATTAGCAGTGTTGGCATATAACAAAATTGAATATATATGTATTCAAATTTGCTGTATTTATGGGCAAAGAGTATTGAGATATATAAACCGTGTTGGTATAAGGCAATCACAATGCAATTGCAGTTTTGATTTCTATGTCCACAATCTATCTATCTATCTATCTATCTATCTATCTATCTATCTATCCTCATCTATATTATCTATCTATTCATCTATCTATCTATCTATGTTTCTTCCTCATCTATCTATCTATCTATCTATCTATCTATCTATCTATCTATCTATCTATGTTATCTTCCGTTTTTTTATCTATCTATCTATCTATCTATCTATCTATCTATCTATCTCAGTCTGTTTATATCTTTCCATCAGTCTCTCTTGCATGTGCAGGTGATGTAATGGATAGCGGATGAGAATGAGAAATGGGAGAGCCGAGTTCAAATTCCAGTTGGCTTCGTTGTATTCACTTACGTGTAAATACCCTTAAGAACGGTGTGAAATCATCTTCTCCTCCCAGCTATGGGTTAAATAGTGCGACGTGTACCAGAAAAAATCCTTGTTATTCTAAAAAACAAAAAAAATTATTGATGCAATTCACTCTGCCAGAACTGATAAGATTTTTAGGCCTGAAAGTCAATATGGCATGCTCACTAGAAGTTTGCTGCCTTAATAGATCATCAAACCCGCTACCCTCTATTTCTATCTCTTGCTCTTTCTCTCTCTCTCTCTCTCTCTCTCTCTCTCTATATATATATATATATATATATATATATATATATTATCCATTTTCTTATTATTTTCATGCTTTTTTCGCAACTTAGTTTTCTTTTTTTCATTTTCTCCTTTCGTTCTCTTCTTCTTCTTCCACCTCCTCCCCCTCTTCTTCTTCCAATATAAACCATTATTTTCCCATTTTCTTCGTTCTTTTTAACCGTTTTTCCTTCCTTTTCTTCTTTTATGGCCTTTTCATGTTTATTTTACATCGTCTTTCTTTTTTCTTTCTTCCTTCATATTGCTTACTTTCTACCCCTTCTTCAATTTTCAAGTCTCTTTTCTTCGTTTTTTTCTTTTCCATCCTTGTCTCGCCTTTTCTTCTTTTATGCTCTTTCTTTCCCTTTCCCTCTTTCTATTTCTTTCTCTATCTCTCTCCCTTTCTTTCTCCTTTTCTTTCTTTCTTTTTTCTTTCTTTCTTTCTTTCTTTCTTTCTTCATATTGCTTACTTTATTTCGCTCTCTCTTTCTTTTTCTTTTTCTTTCTCTCTTTCTTTCTTTTATTCTTTCTTTCTTTCCTTTTTTTCTTTTATTCTTTCTTTCACTCTATTTCTTTCTCTCTCTCTTTCTTTTTCGTTTATTTACTTACTATAAATAATTTAAAAAAAAAACAAACTTTCGTATGCACTTTCCTTCATCTCTGGTATCTCACCTGCTTATCAACCTCACCTGGTTCAAAAGACCAATCAACCCCATGATGCAATTCGACAGGTGAAATCCAAGTGTCCTTCACGCATGCGCGCACAGAGTAATCCTCAGCTGCAAACAGTTATCGCAGTTCAGAAGAAACGGTGCGTTACTAGAACAAAAATGCCTGACGGAGAAGCCTCAGCTTTCGAAAAAGGTTGATGCAATGTTTTTCTGTCACAATTCCTTCACTCTCTTGCAAAACACGACACACACATGTGCACAGCCGTATTCTGGCACCGACAGGCTGAAATTGACGCGTCACTTTGAAACGTATGCGCTTCAAGATCGAACCAAGATAAAACTTTGCGCTTTAGACCCGCACCATCCAGCGCCCACCCCACGTTGCAGAGTGTGCTCTCGTCGTGGAGCCATAGGTTGCTAGCAGATCATAAACACCCTGCTATTGCTTTAGTGCAGTGTTTCTCAACTTGTATTTTTTTTTTACTTCATTGCGTATTTGTAGAGTAACTAAAACTTTGGATTGTACTTTAAATTTTAATAAGGAAATAATTAGTCATTAAATTTAAAAATATGAAATTTTGGTTTAGTATTCCCAAAGAGGATTAGCGGTACAGTTTTCATTTAAAAGAATTTACGCATAATCTGTTATTTTTTTTAGATTTATTTATTAGAGATGACACATTTAAATCCGTCGAGAAAGGCAAAATGGAAAGGATTATCCACTCCTTCTTAAAGATTAAGGAATTTATGATCCAGTTGTTATACCGGAACGTACCTATTCTATTATTAATAGACTCTCCCACACATAATAAGTAGTAGTAGTAGTAGCAGTCGCCAGGAAGCTCAGTGAGCTGTGTGAGTCAGTCGATGTCGGACATTAAAGTATCAACCCCCACAACTAGATTGCTGCGTCATTAACTATTATTTCAAGTTCCTAACGTTTTGTACGTCGGACCCTTTTAGAACCGACTGAGTAAAATACAAGCCTCCACTGTGAAAACTACTCTACAACACCAGTTTAAAATATCAAATGACAAAGACTTGATTTAGACATGGAAGCCATGTGCTTGGTGTGTCTAGCTTTTTTAAAATATTTTTTTTTAACTATAAAAATAATTCATAATTCTGTTAACTTAGGACGCACATGGCTACATTTGAGGACACACCAGTTGTGAAACACTCCTCAAATGTGTTCGATGCCTACTGGCCAGGTTATGTTAAAATAAACTAAAATGTGAAGGCTATTTTTATTTTTGACACAATTTACTGTAGCCATGGTTACAAGCTCGCCTCGCAGACCATGATTACCTTTGAGTTTCAAATATACGAGTGGAATGATTATTCGATTTTAAAGAATATCCATCTATGAGATCCATCTTCTGCAGATATTTAACCCAAGAACACTAACCATGGGTATATAGTACCCAGCGCAAATTTTCATATTTTTAATTAGAATTTTCAGTACCTGATTTTCTTACTTAAATAATGTTTTTCCGTTCTTATCAATGTTACCTCAAAGTACAAAGTTTGAAGTGCCTGCATGTAAAATATTTCAAATAAAGATTTATATTTAATATTTCTTTTTGATATTTTCAAAATCGGGTATGATTTAACCATGGTTAGTAGTGGTGTAACTTTAACTGATGGTTAGTGTTCAAGGGTTAAATATCCAGGAAATTTCTTTGTTGTTCTTAATCTATTCTTCAAGCATTCTTGGACACTGCATTTCATTGGAATATTTTCTTAAAAAGGGGTGGTTGGTATAAGGATGTCTAGTGGGGATTTTTCTCCAAAAAGGGAATAACATCCTCGGCCCGTCTATTTGAAACTCTTGTAGACCATGATCAATGTAGAATGTTAAATACTCAGTAGCGGCCATAATATGTAGATTTTTTATTAATTTTAAAAAAATAATATCTCCCCAAGGAAGGCGATAAGGCTACTAAGATGCAAAAGAGTGTGTGTTAAAAAATTTGAGAAAAATCATTATAAAGAAGAAAGGGCAATAAAACAACAGAATTGAAAGCGACAGATGAAGACGATTGACATTGCATTTAAAGTTTCGAAGATCAAAGTTGACTGGAAAAACAAGAAACCGGTGAATCAATTTTCTTAGTATCAGACGTAGCAGTTAATTCAATATAATCGTTCAACTTCATCTCATTGGAAAACATTAGCTTGAGAAGGCGCCATGTCACTCTCTTGGAGGTTAGCATCAGCCATGCCGATGGAAGGCGAGAAGGGTTAGCTAAGATGATTAAAAGAGAGCAGTTTCGTATTGAAGGCATTAAAATTAGCAAGCCATTTCTTGTCCCAGTTAACAACAAATTAAGGGTCATTTTTTTATGATCGGCTGCCAAATTGAAGCTTATCAAAGCTATCAGACAGGTTAAAACAGAATAAAATAGTTATGTCATCAGCATAGATATAGGAGTTGGGAACTGATGACATCAGGAAAGACATTGATGAAAATAAGGAATTAGAAATGCATTTATTTTTCTTATAAATGTCATATCCATTACGTACATAGCTTTTCTCAGATTCCTTTATTTTATTGCCAATAAATTACGATGCCTTCTTGAGAAATCAAAGTGAAGTGATTTCTCATTACTTTCCCCGCTGTTTAAGATTCTGATCTTTTCTTTTCGATTTTATTATTATTATTATTATTATTATTATTATTATATTTCCTTTTGTTTCTGGTGTAAACTCATTTCTTTCCGACCAGCGACCTAAGGTCAGAAATGGCATCATGATATTTCTCCACTAAGCAGTTTTGAAAAAAATCACATATAAGTAAGGTGTAGGCTGTACTTGTAAGTACATTTTTTTTTTGGTGGGTATTTCTTTAAGGCTTGGGTTACCAGGGATTCTTTTAATGAGTCTTTGGAAATCTTTTCCAATCAATCCGAGGATTCCAACTACAACTGGAATGGTTAATGTCATCATGTGCCACATTTATGAGATTTCGATTTCAAGGTCCTTGTATTTTGACAGTTTTTTTTAAGATCTTTAAGGCATGGGCGACTAGTAAATTCCTTGAATGGGTCGACTGGAATCATTTCCAATCAATCCGAGGGCTCTTCCTACAACCGGAATTTTTAATGGCTTCATGCTCCACATTTTTGCGATTTCGATCTCAAGGTCTTTGTATTTTGTTAGTTTTTTTTGAAGATCTTCAAAGATACATTGCAGTCTGCAGGGACTGCAATATCAATAAATAGACACATTTGATCTTTGCGATCTCTAATCACGATGTCAAGGTGATTAGCTTTGATTTTTCTGTCTCTGTGTATTGTAAAGTCCCATAAAATTGTATTATTATTATTATTATTATTTGTGTATGTTATGTTCCCTACTTTGTATCCTGTAGAGCCGGGTTCAAACTATGGTCCCTCGGCCCTACAGGAGAATTGTCATTTAATTGATAGAACTTTTCTTAGTATATGGGATGTTCCTAGTAAAGCGATCTTCTGGGCAACTTGTATGTTGATGTTACCTGCTGATGGGACATTGTTAGTAAAATTGTTTATTTCTTTTCTCACGAGATCTCTTCTTCTTCTTCTTCTTCTTCTTCTTCTTCTTCTTCTTCTTCTTCACAACCGACTAACAAATAAACACGGGGGTACAAATATACGAAGCCCAATGTACTTAATATTATATAATAACTTCTGGCCAACATGTATGCTGATATTACCTGGGATACCGTTAGTAAAATTGTCCAATCCTCTTCTCACAAGGCCCAGTTCTCTGATTACTATTGGTACAGCCTCAGTCTTCATTTACTACATCCTGTTAATCTCGATGTCCAGGTCCTTGTATTTGGACAATTTCTCAATAATTTTTATAGAGGTGTTTCTCTCAGATGGTACTGGCATGTCAATAAGCATACACTTCCTGAATTTATTATCATTTATGATAATATAAGGTCTGTTGGCTGTTATTTCCCTTGTCAGTTTGACTTGGCATGTCCCAGAGGATAATGATATTATTATTATTATTATTGTTTTTATTTCCTTTGATTTCTGATGTGTACTCATTTCTTTCCGGGTCCTGACCAGAGACCTAAGGTTAGAAATGGCATCATGACACTTTCCACTGTCAAAAAAAAAAAAAAAAAAAAATTACATAGATAAAGCCCTTCGTAAAGTATGGGCTGTACTTGTCAGAACAATTTTTTGTATCTCCTTGAGGTATGGACTTCCAGGAATCCCTTTAATTAGTCTACTGCAATCTTTTCCAACCAGTCCTAGGGCTCCAACTACAACACGGATTGTTGATGTTCCCATGGGCCACATTTTCGAGATTTCTATTTCATGATCTTATTATTATTATTATTATTATTTGTGTATGTTATGTTCCTGTCCTGTAGAGCCGAATCCAAACTATGGTCCTTAATCCCTATAGGAGGATTATCATTTAATCGATAACACTCTTCTTAATATATGGGATCTTCCTAGTAAGGCGATCTTTTGGGCAACTTGTATGATTGTCAGTTACTTTTCTCACGAGGCCCAGTGCTCCGATTACTATTGGTACAGTCTCAATCTTCATTCTCCACAGCCTTTTAATCTTCTTGTATTTAATTTTTCATGGAGGTGTTTCTTTCAGCTGATACTGCTTTGTCAATAAGTATACACTTCCTGAATTTATTGCCCTTTCTGATAATATAAGGCCTGTTGGCTTTTATTTCCCTGTCAGTTTGAATTTGCTTGTCCCAGAGAATATTCGTTATTTTGAGTAACTGTGTCTGGTTAATACTCATACCATCTCGAAACCAGTGTTTTGATTTTGTAACTCTTGTATATCGCGCACATATGTCGCTACCTTGATATAGGTTTAGGTATATTCATTTTTTTTGCTAGTTCCAGTCATTCTGAGATAATAAGGTCGACAGTTTTATTATATTTACCGCAGATCCTGC